ATTTTTAAGCACAATGTCCAGTTGTTACTTTGCTATCAGGAAAGATGTTAATAAGAGCACATGAACAAAAATAAGCAGAAACAGAAGATTACACAAATAGAACTACAAAAACAACAGATATTAGAATTAGACACTGAAGTATAGAAAAACTATGCTTACTATAATCAAAGAAATAATAGACATGCTGGAAAATTATGGCCAGGAATTAAAAACAGCAAAGGGTGATTAACACAGATTTGAAAATTACCACTTGAAAAGTGTAAGACTCAAATAAAGCCATTCTGCTCAGAATGAAACAGGATAGAAAACACAGAACAGAGGATAAGTGACAGAGAACATACCTACCTATATCAGTACAACTAGTTATAAAATATAGTTATGTATACACACATACATAACTGGAGCTGCAGAGAGAGAGGAAAGAGAGTTGAATGAAATGAAATGTAGCAAGGAATCACCATAAAAAAGGGTTCCCTGCACTACTTAATGAGGAGCAGAGCTAGTGGGCATATGGCAGAAGCCATTTGGAGCACGCAAGTTTGGGTTCCTGGGCTATCCTCAGTCTGTCCACTAACATAAGGACTTATTTTAAAGCTACTAATTAAGACAGTCTGTTTTTAATATGAGGAAAGACAGTCAAAATGAACACAGTAGAGTCGACAGATAAACACACATATTTAGGATGTATTTATAATCTACACATGACATAACAAAAGCGTTCCTGCATTATGGAGGAAAGGACTGTATTTTCATTAAAGTAATGTTATTTGATTGGACAATCTTATAGAAAAATACACACACACACAGATTCCAAATGGCTTGCAATCCTGTATGTGAAAGTAAAACAATAAAGCTTCTAGAAGATCATATAGGAGACAATCCTATGACATAAGACACAAAAAAGCATTGGCCAGAAGGAAAAGCCTGATATACTGGACTTTATTCAGTAACAAATTATATTAATGAAAATATAGGTAAGTATATGAAGACTATACATTTACAGCACACCACTATCCCACATCTGTATAATGCTCCGTAATAAAAAATAGTTAAAGTACAAGATAATGTTGTGTATCACTCAACTTGCCTCCTACTACTCATGAACGTAAGAATGACTTCCAGCAAGAAGTTAATTTCTAGTCCAATGGAAATAACAGACGGGTCAGAACCCTGTTCCCTTTGAAGTAGTCACCTGTGCTTGTGGAAGCTGACCGAGGGCCCTGGATGAAAGGGAAACTGAGTCCATTAGTCTGGAGCTCTGGGCTGTTCAGACAGTCTGAGGACTAGAAACCTCGAGCTCCCATCTGAAGATGCCCAGCAGCTCCTACAAAAGGCAATAAATAAAGGAAAGGCAGGAAGTCATTGGTCCCAATAACAAAAGGCAACTTCAAAACCAACTGACACACCTTCTTTCGTTTCTGTCCCTCAGTATCCTTGCAACCAAAAGCAGCAGCTAGGCCCAGCCCAGAGGCAAGCCATCTTGGTGCTGATTGCTCACTCCCAACTGGAAAGAATTAAGTTGGTATAACTCTTTCCTCTGAGAGAACTGCTGAGATGCGATGTTCCTTCCTGAGGCATGGTGACAGGCTTTTGAAGAAGGATGGTGAAGCCATGATTTGTTACAGAGGGACAAAAATTTGGACATGGGTGATACAACTTAGGTGAAAGAAATTGTGAGCCAGTAGGATGAGTTACTGTTTGAGCAGGTGGCTGAAATCTTGGTCTGGGGAGTGCTGTAGAAATAATTCGGCTCACCACACTGACAAGTGGGCACTGTGCTAGACAAAAAGTGTCAAATCCTGAATAAAGATGGTCTCACATTTCCCAGAGGGAGAAGGTTAAGCGCCCACAGGCTCAGTTGGAATTTAACCTGTCTCTGCATGCCAGGGCAGAGCCCAACCCAGAATAAACTATGACTCTGTCCTCTTCCTCCTCCCCACCATCTGGACCTATCTTTAAATATCTCCTCCCAACTTCCTTCAAGAAGCCAGGCTAGTTCTCCTTTCCTACACTGGTTCCCTCTAATAAAGCCTCTCCTGGCGCCACGACACTAGCACCTTCTAGGGAATTCTTTCCCTAGAGGGCAACAGACCCACTCTTTTTGGGTCAGCTGTAACGTGGATGGTAGTGTATCCTACAGTAAGAGGCTGGATGAGGAACTTTAAGAGAAAGAAGGAGGAGAACAAGATGGCTTTGTGCTTTGTGGTGGGATTCCTTCCCACGACCACTCAAACTTTGCAAGAGATTAGGCAATGATGTGGTCACTAAATTTCTACTAGCAAATATTGAAAGGGATGAATTTTATAGCCTGGTTCACTTGGGGACAAACCAGAGATAGAGAAGGTAGGCATAATACACCTGACACTGTAAACCCTAGTATATGTATGGGAAAGGGTTGGAGGTGGGGGGTGGAGGGGAGAGTTGCAGAGAGGGGGTCCCCAAGAACATTTCAACTTCAATGCAAGGGATAATGAGAATTTCAGTTATGTCTGGAAATATATATATATATATGTTATACATGATATATATAATATACAATATACATTAGATATAAATTGTATATATAAACAAGGTCATGGTATATGTCTATTTTATATTTGTTACTCAATAATATGAACAATATTGTTATTTTTCAATCATGGCTCTTTTGTTGGGCTTTCACTGCATTTCCCCCCAATTGCTCAACTATTACAATGAAACTGCACTAAATGTCTTGTAGATGAATCTTAGTTTAGACCCATGAGCATTAACTTGTGCTAGGATACTTTGATCTAAGTTTTTTAGTGACTTCTTCTGGCAGTTAAATCAAACTCAAATATGTCACTAGCAACATCACATGCAATGTAGGTTGCTCTACTTGACAGGCACTGCATACACAGGAGGTGAAAGTCCTACTTTTTAAAAGTAATTAAAATGATAAAAAGAATTAGTGGCTCTCACTGGTGGCACAATGGTTAAAGCACCGCACTATGAAGCTCTCCAAAGCCACTGCAGCATGAGTTCAATTCCCAGCCAGGGACCTGACCCACATGGTGTGGCAGACCTCTCCTGACCTGCTGCTCCCCTCAGCAGTGTACTTTGTCAATCTGCCTGTTCTGTTCCCCACTGTCTCTGGTGAATCCTCTCACCCACCACACATCTGGACTGTATTTCAGTTCTGTAAGCATAAATAAATAAATCTTAAAAAAAAATTAGTGCTGGATATCCCTAAAACAACCATATCGAAATGAAAAGTTAAAAGCATGGTTCACCTTCTCATTCACAACTTTTGTTCTTTCACATTTTTAAAGTACTTTAGGAAAGAATAAAATCTTTAAATCAATTACTGTGAATGGCCTTATTATCAGTTAAAAATATATGTATATATAATATAGATACTATCAAAAAATTTCACACTTCTTACATATATTTAGAATGTTAACTTAAAATAAAATAATTATAATGTAAAAATCATCACTCCTATTTTTCTACCTCTTTTATCTTCAGTAAATATTCCTCTTTTTCAGTACTCGATGCAGCATCCAATTTTTCCTTGCTAGTCACAAAAAAATTACTATGAAAAAAGGAAGCCAGACAGACTTAAGTTAGGACATGCTTTTTGGTAAATCTACATTTATTTATGACATCAGAAACTCCTAGTCTCCATCAACCTCTGTAACATACTTATTTATACAGTCACTAGAATGAACAAAATGTTACTCTTTTCAGTCATTCACATTCATTCATTCATTCATTTAAGAAGCAATCATTAAACACCCACCTTCTGCAGGTGTTCTAGGCACTAGAGACAGGTCAGAGATTACACTCTACTGGTACAATCAGAATATAAGAAATGTTTCAGGAAAGATAAAGTATGATATTTACATCTTATTCTCCAGGATCTTAAAGGAATTCTTCATATCCTCCACCTGTTGTTCCCAATGTTTTATTGATTCTTGGATTTGTCTTATTTCTAAATTGTGATCGCTAATAACCTAATGAAAATCCAATAAAAGTATGGAATTCAGTTATCACCAGATAACTCATGACAGTAGTTCAATTTGCTAAATACTCATGCATTATCCATTCAGCTTTTATATTGGGGATGGCTTTAGTCTAAAAAAGAAATCTATACTCTTTCTTCATAAAATGAAATTTGACAGAAATATCCTGAAATTATCAAATAAAAAAATATGGAGGAGAAGCAACCAAAACTGGCTTGAGAATGTGAAAAGTATAAATCAACATTTAAGAATTCATCTTGTCAACCATTTAACAAGCATGAAAGAAATCTAGCATTTTCATAATCAACATTAGAATACTATCCCAGGGTCCTAGGATAAGCATTATATTTAAAAAAGTAAAAAGAAAAATGTCTTTGCTTCAGTTGAAAAGATTTCATTCTCAATATTTAATTGAGCTTTTTGGAAACAGAAAAAAAATTGGTGCTGTGAAGAAATGTTAGCATGATTTAAAAGAAGACAAATACTGATGCAGAAGATTAATAGTGAAACATACTTTCATAGCACAGTTTTGGAATAAAGGGAAGCCAGACTTATTAAAATTTTGGGTCTACATTTCACCTTGTAAGGGGATAGGAAGCTAAAAGAAAGGCTGATAAAAATATTTCCTCTTCTCTCGGGCAGAGCCACCATGCAGATTATTTACCATTATCCACTGTCCCAACACAACAGGATCAAAGAAACACCTTGGAGAGTGAGAGGCTCTCATTCATGCCAGATGAGATGTGGGGGTGGGTGGAGTGCTGAGCCCCCCCCCCCCCCCCCCGCAAACTATATCTTCCTTTAAAGCACCCATACGACAAAGCTTCTGATTCACAATTGGCTCCAAAGATAATGAGGTCTGAAATCCTAAAACTGCCATCAGAATTAGCAGAACGTCTAGAGGACTATAATTGCCATGAAGTCTGACATTGGTTACCTCCACTCTTCTCCCTGCTCTGGGCATGGAGGTCACCTGAGAGTCAAACACCATTATTCTTTTCTGCCAACATCACATCAGCTTCACCTGGCTGCTGAGTTTTTCCCAAGTCTCTCTTGTACCTCAGTCCAAGCCCAAATGCTGTTTTCTAATTTCAAGCAATGATAACAATGACAAACTTTACCAATTACAACGTATTCGTTCAGAAGCCTCACATGGCCTCTACAAACTCAAGTCTCTGTGACACTCAAGTCTGTGCTTTAAACATTATTCTCCACTAGTGAGGTGGGAAGAGGAGGGGCAGGCTGGATTGTGGGTGGTGGTGAATGACCCTGGAGGTGAGTTTATACCTGCCACCTCCAAGCATGATCTGATTTGGCCTTCAAGGTTTTTGTGGTTCAGGTTAAGGAACATACACTTCATTTTCCTAAATTAGGTTGGTGGAGTGTTTGACGTAGCAACTTATGAGGTCAAAATTGGAGATATGAGCTTGGATATCTGCTAAAATCTGTTTTGTATCAATGCAATCTGTATGTTCTGCTTTGGGTCTAGCCCAACTCATGCTCCCTTAAAATTATGACATTTTAAAAACAGACAATGAATTTTTTAAATGCACAGATTTGGGATTTTTTTTATTTTACTAATGTTTTGTAATCGAATATCATAATATGTATATGGTAATTAAAATGAACAGAACTTTTTTGATCAAAATCAAAAAACATAATGAAATTAATGAAGCATCAGTAAGTAATATGATATTTCATATTATTGTAGCACATTATATGCTTTTCCAGGTAATTTTCAACACAGATAGGAGTAAATGCACTAAAGATTCGTTTTTTTCAATGAATGTGATAGGCATTTCACAGATATTCCCATCTTAATTTTCATGGAAGTGATATCAGCATTAACTTCTTCAGTTATAGTCACCTTCACAAGCTTCATTTTTCTTATTTTTAACAAAATAATTATTACAGTGCTGATTTTTAATTGACATCACATTTTTAAATAGAATGCAGAGCTCCAAATATTTTCTAATTCAAACAGACAAATTCTGTTAAAGCTTCTGTACCCAATATAATCTTCAGTTATTTTCACTTATTTGGGGTTAAGGAATCAGCCAATGGTTATTCATTTTGTGACATTCAGTTTTGTATGCATTTGATCAGTGCCATGTGCACTTTTAAAATCATTTTTACAGTACTTGGCTTATTAAATACAATTTATCCCTAAGACATTTTAAATTTCCTTCTTTCTACTGTATTCTTGAAGAAGAAAGCTCAATTGTCAGAAAAATCTTGAAAAACATAGTTCAGTCTTTCTTACCATTGACTTGGCGGTAACTGTTTCTTTCATACTTGTCATTCTGCTCCTCAACTTTTCCAATTCTTTCTTTATTTTATAAGTCTCCGCTTTCTTAAGGTCACAAAGGTTTTTTTCCTCCTGAATCTGAGGTGACAAAAATAATAAAACAATCAGAAACTTCTTGGGAACAGCAAAATTTAGGAAATCATTTTTTTTATTCTGTCAATCTAATTTCTCTTCACTCTAAGGCCATATGCTATATTCAATTGAAGTATATTGACCAATTTTTAAAAAAAAGCTGGGTTTGCTTGTTTTGTAATATCATAGGGTTTGAACATGCTATATCTGTAATAGTTTTCCCTTTCTCATGAGAAGTACAAGGAATTAATAGGCTGTTACGAAGCACAGCTTTCCTGTACCTTTAGCAACCAACTCCTTATCATCCACCCATTTAGCCTAGCCTACATGTGATATTCTTGTTGGATCCATGGTTGTTCCAGTAGTGGGCGCTGTCTTAAACTGGCCAGATCAGGCACAGCAAGATTATATTTCCCAGATAATGAAAAGCTTTTCTCTTTCTACTTCATTAAGGAAGCATTTAGTCCAGTGGTTGCTGGTAACCAACTTGCAACCACAAGGGAAACATGCCCTAAGATAAAGCATGAGGACTACTGATGGAAACTGGGCAGCAGCAGGACTGCCACTGCCACTCCAGAGCATGCAATCCCCAGCCACAACTGGAAACTAGGAATCCCACCATCCCCCAATGGAATGGAGGAAATATAGAGTGTGGAGGTGATCAGAGACAGCACCTATCAACATACCCAACATCATTACCCATATAGAGTTTGGCATACTAATGTGGATTATGGCACATTATTAGCTAGACCATTATTACTTGGGAATAAACCTAGCAAAAGAGGTAAAGGACATATACAAAGAAAATTTTAAAACACTGTTCAAAGAAACAGAAGATACAAAGACATGGAAGACATCTCCTGATCATGGGTTGGAAGAATTAACAACAAAATGGCCATGCTACCAAAAGCAATTTACAGATTAAAAATCTGTAAATCAATTAAAATCTCAATAGCATTCTTCAGATCAATAGACTATAGATGAAATTTACTTTGAGCCACAAAAACTTGAATAGCCAAAGCTCTCCTGACTAAAACAAAGGAGAATGGAGGTATCTTACTCCCAGATTTCAAACTTTACTACAGAGCCATAGTTATTAAAACATGGGATTGGAACAAAAACAGGCACACACACCAATATAATTGAATAGAAAGCCCATAAATAAAGTCACACATATATGGACGACTAATCTTTGACAATGGAGCAAAGAATATGCAATGGAATAAGGACAGTTTGTTCAATAAATGGTGCTAGGAAAACTGGACCACCACATGCAAAAGAATGAAACTAGACCACTACCTCACGCCATGCACAAAACCAACTCAAAATGGATAAAAGAAATGAACATAAGACCTGAAACCATAAAACATATAGAAGAAAATATAGGTAAAACACTGTAAGACATACACCTCAGTAACCTCTTTAAAGACATCCCCTAAAGCAAAGACTAAAGGAAAAAATAAACAGCTGGAACTACATAAAACTAAAAAGCTTTTGTACAGCAACAGAGACATTAACTGAAACAAACCCTACTGGTTGGGGGAAAAGTTTTACACTTCACACAACTGATAAAGAATTGATCACAAAGATATACAAAGAACTCACATGACTCAAGAAAAACAAAGTAAATAATCCCTCAAAAATGGGCAGTAGAACTTAAAAGACACTTCTCCAAAGATGAAATGCAAATGGCCAACAGACATATGAAAAATGTTCAACATCCCTCATAATATGGAAATGCAAATATAAACCACAATGAGATACCACCCTACACCAGAAGGATGGCACATATTAAACAAACAACAAGTGTTAGTGAGGATGTGGCATAAAAGGAACTCTCCTACACTGCTTGTGGGAGTGCAAACTAGTCCCACCACTAGGGAAAGCTGTGTGGAGGTTCCTCAGGTTACTAAAAATAGAGCTGCCATTTGACCCAGCAATTCCACTCCTAGGGAGCTACCCAAAGGACACAAAAACATCAATTTAAATGGGCACCTACACCCCTATGTTTATTGCAGCACTATTTATAATATGTAAGACTTGGACACAACCCAAATGCCCAAAAATAGATGACTGGGTCAAGAAGATGTGGTACATATACATGACAGAATACTATTCAGAAATCAAAAAAGACAACCTAATGCCAATTGTGGCAACGTGGATAGAGTTTGAAGGCATTATGCTCAGTGACATTAGTCAGAAAGAAGAAAAATATCAGATGGTTTCACTTACAGAAGGAATATATGGGAAACCAAATAAGGGGTCAGGGAAGAAAATAACAGAAAATACAAGAAGACTAAACAAAAGTAATCAGACAACTACACATCAGAGACTTCTGCAGGGGAGAAGGAGGGAGAAGGTACAAAATGAAGTGGGGGGAGAATACAAGGAACTAAGGTGATGGTGCAGGTGAGTTGGTGGGGGAAATTCTAGCAGACTACACCTGATATAAAATATATACAATAAAGAAATCAAAAATAAAAAAGGGAAAAAATGAAAAAGAAAAGCTCAAAAGAAAAAAAAAAGATAAAACGTGGGAAAGAAGAAATATGGGCTCTTGACGTTTGTATTATGTGTATCTGAGTGTGCCCCAACTGCTGCCTTTTCCCAGGGGGCTAGACCAGGGGTCAGCGGACTACTCCCTGTGTGCCAAGTCCTCTCATTCAACTAGGTGTTGTTGATGGTTACTTTGGGGCTGTAAGAGAGCCTGCAACACTTTAAAAATGTACTGTCTGGTCCCTTTTAGATGGGTTTGTGGACCCTCAAGATAGACTAGTCACCTTGCAGTAAGAAAGAAGAACCTGCCATGTTTGCAATTTCCCTATTTGAAGCCCCACTGGACTTCCTTTGTTGAACTTTAACATTTAT